AGAGATCTATAAGTGAAGGAAAATGGTAGTTTTTACCGATCGGTGACTTGATTCTTCTCAGTATAAAGTATATAATTTGTCGTAAAAGAACTCCATTTTCTGTTGACAATCGTTATAACAGCATCTCTCTGATTCCGTAGATTAGATCTTCCATTTGTCTGGATTTTTTATTTACAGCAATATAAGGCACAACGCTCTAGTGCTAGGCATATGGCCTCGAGACCTCCGCGCGACATGGTCGTTTTTTAGACCGGTTATTTGTTAGTGTAATATTTTTCTTTAAAAAAATGTGCCAACCGTTCAAACAACATTTGTCTGATTCCGTTGTGGGTTGGCAGTCCTTGCAATAATTCGGAGGCTTTCTTTTCAGCAATATAAGACACAAAGCTCGAGCTCAAGCAATATGACCTCGAGACCCCAATGGCATGGTCTTTTTATTGATTGGTGATTTCCTCATCATTTTCTGGTGCCAATCGTTTGAACACTATGTCTCTGATTCTGTCGTGAATTAGCCCTTTGCAATATTTATATTATGCGAGCCTGTATGGAAGTATTATATCATTTCACTCAGCAAGATCGATGAATTCAGTTTAGAATATACTGCAGTATAACATTACATCGTGCGCATACGAAGCCGAAAAGAGAAGTTTAAAGTACAAAAGAATATTTTTTGACATGCTTATATTTAATTGCTCCGCGCCCATAGGCGCGGAGCTATTTGTGTTTACTATTTTTTTTGTCCATGGGCCCGGATTTGATCAATTAATCCCTTCGATTTACAGCTAAAAATAAATCCGCATTCAAGAACTCCTTTCGATTTCTATATTGGTTTCCCCTTCGGTGATTCGCAGCATGTCATATTAATGAATGAGAACCGGAAAGCAGTTCTGCTGTACATGAATTCGAAAGCTATAAATAGCTATAAATGTTCTGATTTTTGACAAATTTGTTATTTCCTTTTTTAGTAGTACATGAAATTATAATTTGTTACATTTTGAATTACATTTACACACAGCATATCAAGTATACTATTAGTGATTGAATTTGTCAATATAATGAAGATTTCAGGCATAAGACTTTAATAATTTTGCTTTTGATAATTATTCTTAATTTATATTTATGAAATTAAATGTTTAATAATAACATGTTGATATATTGGTTGTTTTGAAATAATTAAACTTTAAATATAAGGTTACATTCCAATGGCGCCAATTAGTAAGCCATCCAGCTGGCTTACGGAAGGTCGGTGGTTCTACCCGGGTGCCCGCTCGTGCCTGAAATAATGCCCGGAGGGGCACCTGGGGTCTTCCTCCACCAATAAAAGCTGAAAAAAATCGACGAAAAAAATCTTGGCGGGACGCTCTATGATGGCCCGACTTGAGTGTACGGTCGCCCATATGGGCTTTCCGGCGGCGACCTTAAATAAACGCATTAAAAAAAAGCCAATTAGTATTGCATACCACTTTGTGCTTCAAAATTAACTATTTAAGGGTATGACTGGTGACATGTCCGGGGTCCGTCCTCGACAGCGAAAGCTGCATTTTGTGGCATAGGCTATAGATAGATAGCATCATTGATAACAGAAACTTTGATCTGCAGTTTGAACATGAAGTGTAATGTTTTTATGAATGGTTTTAAAGCAATTCAACAAAAAAGTATATTGATCTCCCAATAAATCAATTAATAGTTTTTTTTTATATATCACCAATGTCAAATAGTTTTTATATCTTTGACTCGCACGAACATGATGTTAGTGAATTTCCTCATACCTGCCTAAAATTCAGGTAACAGTCTTCTATTATATTGATGAATACTGTATCACCATGTAACGCGTGTATAACAAACAAAAAATCCTGAATTTGGACTTTTTGAAATTCATCCCATTTTTTCATTCCAGAGTGTGTTCTACTTTGAGTATTGAAAGAAACCATTTTTTTTTAATTTGACATGAAAACATGCATGTAATATTAGTATCTTTTGTTACTATTTGTATATTTGTTACAATTATAATAATAATAAAAAAACAGACTTTGATGTTTTTATCATCTTAAGATAAGTGTAATTATGCAAAAAATGGTTTACAAAACATTCAGAAAAAATCTACAATAGTACTTAATCTGAATATAACATGACCTGTGCGTAGGAATAATTTGGTAAGGTATCTGTAATGAGCGCATTTTTTTTGCGCGGAGCTTCTCAATTGCTGCATTGCAGCAACATTTGTACTTGTTTACTCACGGGGGAGGAAGTGTTACACGAAGGATGGAGTTCTTATGATAACTTGTTTGGAGTTCTTATGATAACTGTCACGGAGTTCCTGGAAAACGTTACGGATTTCTGTGGAAAACTTTTCTATATACTTGGAGAACTCGCGTAAAAAATGGTTATTTTTAACTTTAAATGGGGAGTTTGAGGTACTAAATTTAACTTTGATAATTAAGCTTGCCCTACATATTGTATTTTGTTTCAGAAAAAAACTTTTAGTCCATATTTTGTCGCCTTTTTAAAAAAAATCTGGTAGTTTTGAGAAAAATTACCAAATTACCTGCTAATTCGTACATATTGACCTTTTCATTTGTGATCTTCTTCGTTGCTATACATGATCACATAATTATAGTGGAGAGTTGCAAACATAAAGCCCGTAACATTTGAAAAATCGGGTATAAATTTATTAGCCCGGGCTTTATGTTTTTGACTCGCACGAACATGATGTAAGTGAATTTCCTCATACCTGCCTAAATTCAGGTAACAGTCTTCTATTATATTGATGAATACTGTATCACCATGTAACGCGTGTATAACAAACAAAAAATCCTGAATTTGGACTTTTTGAAATTCATCCCATTTTTTCATTCCAGAGTGTGTTCTACTTTGAGTATTGAAGAAACCATTTTTTTTTAATTTGACATGAAAACATGCATGTAATATTAGTATCTTTTGTTACTATTTGTATATTTGTTTCAATTATAATAATAATAAAAAAACAGATTTTGATGTTTTTATCATCTTAAGATAAGAGTAAGTATGCAAAAAATGGTTTACAAAACATTCAGAAAAAATCTACAATAGTACTTAATCTGAATATAACATGACCTGTGCGGAGGAATAATTTGGTAAGGTATCTGTAATGAGCGCATTTTTTGCGCGGAGGTTCTCAATTGCTGCATTGCAGCAACATTTGTACTTGTTTACTGCAGCGTTAACTTAGGGCATTTGTTTTTCAATATACTTATATACATATTACATTATGTTTAAATATATGCACAGCAGTGCTTTACCATGTTTTACCGAATAAAAAATTAACATCAGTTATGTGACAATATAAGTTTTTATCAAAGACCTCAAACTGCCATTTTTGCAGGAACACTACGTCTAACGGTTCAACAATTAGTAGTACAGCATAGCGTCTAACAGTCAAGCGTCTGAACATTTAAGAGTAAAAAGCTAAGCGTCTCAATATTTAAGAGTAAACAGCCAAGCGTCTCAACATTTCAGAGTGAAAAGCTAGGCTCATCAGTATAAATTGTGTAGTTCAACCTCCAAAAGGTGTGGCAGCATATAAAGCCAATACCTTGGCTGTCCTCGCGAACATGATAAACCTGCATGCCTCAAGGTGAGCCAAAATATTTCAAGAAAATCAACCTTGAGAAGAATGTACAAAGTCTTTAAGAAATGTAAAAATATTCACAATTCAAGAAATAATTTAAATGCTCATATATGTATTTAATGACAGTATTTATCACCATATTTCTGCTGTGTGACTTACCTAACTTTAACTAGCTTTGCTTTTTCTGAGCAACTTGGTGGTATTTTTGTAGATTTAAAAGTACCATTTGCAATGTGTAAATTACTCTCCTTATTCACTTGACAAAATCTTACTTTGTTATTATACATTTAAAAAAAATAGTATGAATCTGCAGGCATGGTACTTTAAGATAATAGAATACATTTCTAGTGCATAATTGCACGTAAATTATAAGTATATATTTGTAACAGTTCAATATTATATCTATATATGGTAGGAGAAGGCCTTAAAATCTGAAAATAAAAGTATATCAATAAATGAACAATTAAAGACCACAATTGTTTTTCAGTAATCTCAAATATTCAAACATACACTCACGTTGCTCAATGAAATGGAATATTCAAATATCTTACATCTTAAAAAGCAACATTATAAAAAAAATAAATAATGTATTCCTATGGATAAGTCATTGAATTTAGGAATACTTTAACTTGTTTTCAAAGTGTCAAGCGTTGCTATTTTAGACAAATAAATCATGCATGATATTTGAAATGACACTTTTAAATTATCTGGTTGTTTATATCTTATGAGACCTATTCTATTTTATTATTTCATTTAGTTACAAGTAGAGGTTTTGATGCTAAAGCATCAAGTCGCCGGATAGAAATATGATTGCATTATTATAAACATAAGAAAATATCATTTTAATCGTTCGAGTATAGCGAAAAGGGGAATAATAAGATGAGTAATGCTTATTCATATTTGAATTAAACTTGCTTAGCAAAACTGTTATCATTATTAAATAAGCAAGTGTTGTTAATATTGACCGGAGACTTATTAATTTTCGGGAGGTGTTTCGTTAGTTTCTGTAACTTATTTTGATTAATGTTAAAGAATTTTTGTAAGTATAATTATATATCAATTAATTCTGCTCGATGGCCTAGTGGTAAGTATTTATTTTGGTGAGGTGCGACAATATCTTGCCAATTAAAAAAAAAAAGATTAATGAGAGCAATGACAATAAGTACTGAATATTTTTCTCCGCCTCACACTTTTTTCTCAGATACTTTGAATCATTTCATTTAAGAAAGCTATCAAGCGATCTGATTGAAGGTCAGTGATTCGTACTGTTGTGCCTAGAAATAAATGATGAGCGTCTTCCTCCACCATTTATGCTGGATGTGATTTTAAACACAACAAAAGTAATAACTAGTGTTAAGTTATCAGGAATCAGGTGTCCAGATCAAGTAAAATGTAATTTTGTTATTTGTTCAGCACCATTTTATTAGTATTCTATACATATCAACAAAGCAATCACACGTGCCTTTCGTGATAATTCTTTAGTAGACGTTGAGATAAAAACTAGACAATATATACATGTATAAACCAATCAAACACAGAATAAAATTAAATTATCGTTTCTTCACGTTTACTACATGCGTTGATATGTTATCGTTTTTAAACAAAAGTTTCCACTGTCATTCAAAAGTAAAAGTTTCGTCAATATCTGTCAACTTTGTTCGCATAGCTTCGTCGAATTGCTCATTCTGAGCAACAGTGAACCAGTTTTTCCAGTCACCTATTTCTCCTGTAAAACAACATCATATACTTGTAATATTAACGAATTTGGTGAATAGTGTAAGGAATTATTATGTAGCTTGTTTTTGTTTTTAGACAATTTACGATTATTTTATTACCATCTTCACATTAAACAGTTAAATGTACATGTAATTTGATTGTATCCAATTAGCTTAAACTGAATACATATAGTAAATGACTGGTATAGACGTTTTCAGCACTCATTCGTTATTTTCGTACATGTTATTTTGAAAGATTTTAAGCAACATTGGACCATTTTCGTTAATTTGCGACCCAAAAAATATTGTCCATTTGGCATTACAATATTTGGCAAAAGCGACAAAATGCCCAAAAAAAGCAAGAGGTACCATCAATTATTTATTCTCATCGAGGTGTGATTTCATTAATTAGCTAACAAATGCAGGAAAATATAAAAAAATACCTTTTCTGAATGTATATGATAAAGGGTTCCTATTCTTTTCATCGAAAATGTTCTTAGATTTCGTATATCCTTCTTTCAGATTGTTAAAGTTACATTTATCACAGATATCTTGTATAGTAGAGTCATCTATCTTCACACCAAGGAATTTGGCAAGCTTCTGTACTTGGTTAAAGCTATCCTAGAATTTCAAATATACTGCTTTAACATATATAATAGAATTTATAATTATACATGTTCTTCTTACAATTCAACATACAATAATGTTGTTCTCGGTTTGATTGAGCCTGTTCATGGACGGCACTGGAAAATGCAAGTTACCGTCCACGCCCTCTAGCACCGGCTTAAGCAGAATTCATCCAAATTCAATATTTAAACTAGAAGAAGGTGCAATTTTGAATCTAGAAACATCCACAGATGTGTTCATACGGCGGTTTTCATGAAATCTTCAATATGACACTTTCCTGCCATACCATGAAAAGCCTCAAGTCACTTTGATGATATGTCTGGTAGATTATTATAGCTCAATCCACAAGTAAATGAAAAAATAAATGAAAACGAACTTAATACTTCTTTGTTTGATACATGTTCCTTAGTTACAGCAGTCATTGTTGCTTTGTAAATCAATCTCAAGTATACACTAAACATTATGAGAAGTTCTTTAAGGCGTTATATTTTGTTCCGGGTTTAACTGAAAACTCTGGCTATATCATATAAGAATACAAAAAAAAAATCAATTTAGTTTTATAATAGATCTTTTTTAATGAACAATGTTTATTGTTCTGACATATTTGTCTTTCTTAATTTTAAACTATTTTAAACATTAGTACGGGTCTGCCCAACTAAAGCCTTTTCGTTTTGAGAAATGTTAATTTACCAAGTGCAATTTTAGACGAAATTGGTTATAAAGAATGACAAACACTTACTCTCTTTAACAATTCATAACATACTGTATGTATTGGGTAACTCGCCTCCTCTCGGATCGTCTTGTTCCATTCTGTTGTGTAATCAAACCAGGATCCAAATGCAACTTGAATAAATAGAAGATAAACACGTGTTGTTTATTTTTAGATAAGAAAAATGTGAATTGACAGAGTAGATCTTGAACATAATTCATAGTTAATTTATTCATCACAGCCAATGTTAACCATTCTTTTTTTTAAGACAAGGAGAGACCGGATTCTTCATGTATAACGATAAGATGGGTAAACTAAATGGACAAAATGCAAGTTCTTGGTGCACGTCTTGTTACAGAACATCGAGTCGGACAGTAAAGGCTATATGTATTTGGATCAATAGCATTATCTATTGAGGTATAGTGTTCTACGACCTTATTTAAGTACAGATATTTTAGGAATGCATTCATAACAGGATGTTTTCACAAGAAAGATGTAAGTGTGTAAATATAATTGCAATAATTAAACCTTTTTTAAAGATAACAAGAGCAGAATAACAGGAAGAAAACAAAAGTTGCATACCTTTACCATCCAAGTATAGAGGTAAATAATCTGAGAATGTGCCTTTGTAAGCAACATTGCCTTTCGTATTATGGCAATATCTTGACACAGCCATGTCCTTGGGATTCCGAGTAACATAGATGATCTTACATTTCCTGAAATAAGCGCACGCACAAATATTTCCCAGAAAATACGAATAATTAGACAATTTAACGGCCGCAAAACTTCATTTATATGTTGTATGAAAGCTTAAGTGATTACTTAAGCATAGGTCAAAGGTTAAATTGTTTTATAAAGTTTTGACTATTCGACTATATTATGTGCATATAGGTTATACGTACTGTGTACGCATGTGCATATTGCCCTGCCGGATGTATTCTGAAATGAACTCTTGAAACTCTTTAAAAATGATCTGGAATATGGAGATAAACTAAATCTAAAACTCTTATATTCTATGAAATGCAATCATACTTGTCTTTGAAGTCTGTGGGTAGTTGTCTGAAGCGTAGATGAGTATTGAACACATTTGGTGTTTCCAGGGAGTCAACACCACTAGCGCCTGTAAGTTCTAACATCTGAGCCTCTTTCATGGCTTTATGATACTCGGCTGAACCCTGTAGCAACATGTTCGTAATTTCCCAAACCCAGTGCGTACCTTAAAGAACATATTTCCAAAAAGTGCAACTTTTGCCAATAAGCACGAAAATTAGATAGAATACAATGTTTCAGTCAAACTGTTACGAGTAAAGGCTAAAAAAGAATTTGTTTAAGAGAACAAAGGTTATAAGCATTAGCATTAGAGCACGGACTTTAAATAAAGCCCGGGATTAGAACAAATACATCATTCAGTTAAGCCTCGGTCTCACTTAACCCCGGCAGAGCCCAGGATCATCCCGGTAAGTTACCGGGATGATCCGGGACGATCCGGGGTGAAATTATTGTTGCGGTCACACTTACCCCGGCAGCACTACGGTAGTTCTCAACTAACCACCCAGGATGCGCTCCGGATCATCCAGGCAGAGCCCAGGTGCAGCTACGGTTCATGCCGGTGCTTCCCCGGTCGTTCCCGGATGACGCCGGAAGAGCCCCGGTTGACCCAGGCAGAGCCCCGGTCGATCCAGGCAGAGCCCCGGCAGAGCCCAGGACTATCCAGGCAGAGCCCCGGTAGAACCCCGGTGGATTAAACACGCCCGAAAATGATAACATTGATACATAATTTTTATTTAATATAATATCTATTGTTCCAGAATAGTAATTAATGATGATTTTCTGAAAAATCCTAATGCCATACTGGATGGAAGGGAATTGGGAGGGGTTTTAATACCAGCAAGTGCAATCATCGCAAATTGTCGTTATTCTTTTGAAATGATCCGGGCATTGCCGGGGCTCTACCGGGATCAACCGTAGCTCTACCTTTATCATCCGGGGCTCTGCCTGTAGTTGCCGGGGCTCTGCCGGCATTTTCCGGGGCTCTACCGTAGCTCTACCGGCTATATCATACACCCGGATCATCCCCGGTTTGTGCCGGCAGAGCTACGGTGCTTACCCGGTATAACCCCGGTCGTTCCCGGCAGAGCTAAGGATGAAGCCGGCAAAGCTATACCTTCCCGGATCATCCCGGACCACCCCGGTGATATTAAATATTTTATTCTATCCGGGGTCGAATGCCGGATGTTCCCGGATCATCCCGGACGTTGCCGGCAGAGTTACGGATGTACTACGGTTGTTCCCGGTCGTACCCCGGTCGTTCCCGGATCACCCCGGACGTCTACCAGGGCTCTGCCGGGATGTAAGTGAGACTGTAGCTTTAGCGGGAGAATGCACTTTCAAAGGTAGTAAGTACACCAAAGATATGAGATGTTAGGCAAGTATAGTACAACTAAGCAAGTAAAAATGGTCATATTTTGATTTAAATACTAACAGTTCAATTTGACATTTTTTTATATTAAATATCAGTTGAAATTTTCATATATGTATTACACTGGTTCGTCTATTTCTTTTTACCATTTTGTCAAATATTAAGCTTAATTTATGCAATGACATTCTCACCGGCTTTCGGATATGCTGCAATTAGGACATCATCAGATTTACAGGGCATGTCTCTGATTTCATTTATTCTCTGCACTGGATCGTCGGCGAAATAAGCCGGGAAATATATACCGTCAACGTCTATCAAATCATACTCATTGCCGACCCCATCCGCAACATGTACCTTTTTTGCGTCCATGACAAAGAATTTTTATCTACAAAACAAATACATGTGCCTGACTATACAAACTGCTATGTTCCTACGGAACATTAAATCGTTTCTTTGAAAATCTATATATTATGATAAACACGAAAATTGAAACTACCACCGTAAGACCGCGAATTAACACGAATATTATACATGTATGTATACTACCATAAGTTAATTGCATTTTGGTATTTTCTTACATGAATTAGAAAATAAATGAACTTAAAAAATGTCTTAACAAAAAAAAAGTAAAATAAGCGAAGTATTTTTTTTCTGAATCTGTTAAGAAAATAATTAAATAAATCAACTTAAAATAAAAGAAGCAAAATTCATGTTATTCTCTTGATTATGTTGTTTTTTTTTTAAATATTTTTCTCAACAGATTCAGAGAAAAACCAATATACTTCGGTTATTGTTAAGACATTTTTTTCGTGATTTACGGTATATTGTAACATGTACTGTAGAGGTAAACAACTAGTATACGCCACTGAATGAGATAATACTTTATTTCAACATGTTTATGCAGTCAGCTATTATAATGAACAATTGTTCTACTTAAGTTTAAGTAGTTTTTCGGAGATGGGTGTTGATCCGAAACAAGCGTGTTATATTAACAGCCAGTAAAATAAAAATTCATATAAATAATTATATAATAACGTGCAAAACATACCTGTTAAATCAGTATAAGTCAGAGAGTTCTAAAATCTTAATAATCTCGTATGACACGTTGTTGGACGTTACATGTTACATGTATATATCCTCATATGATTATAATCAATCAGGTGCGTAACTTGCAGGTCCTACCTTGTCAATCGTTGCCTCTGGGCGGTATGACGAGATTTGTAAGTATTGAAAAATAAGCTGCCTTTAAGATTTTTTTCATAATGTTTTATTTTTACTCTAAATGCTTTATACCCACTGCCATCAATTTGAACATTAAAATATACTTATTGAAACACGAGTTCTTGCAATTTATTCTTGCATTTCTTGCAATTCTTGCAATTTGTTGTTAAATTAATTGACGGACTTGAGTCCGCTGCCTGGAATTAAACAAGTTTTGCTGTCATATGGTGGCCCGAATAGACCTCGAAACTACGATGCCCGTTGCTAATGTAAGGAGAACTTGTGGGTCAAACCTGTAGCCAAACATGCTATACATTTGTATTGTAATTGTCAAATACATGTATGTACATGTATATATATTGGCTCGTTGTTGTATATTCAGGCGTTGTTATTTTATGCTTATTTATAACATATGCGCTATTTCGTACTTGTTCGTGAGCACGTCACAGTTTCTGATAGTCGTTTTGCACATAAACACATAAAAATCGACAGACTGGAACCCAGGTTAGGTATATTCGATTATTTTGATATAATCTAAGTATTCACTAGCTGAAGATCTTCAGCGTATCCGTTTAAATACTGTGACAGGACATATTTATTTTTTAAAAAGCGGCTTATTAAGTTTTGAAAGAAGGAACTCAGCTCATGGTGCTATTACAGGTTTCCATTCAAACATTCAACTCAAATTCCTAAAGTCTCAACCGACCTTTACTTTAAACTGCATTATCTTTTAGCATATTTTGATATAAAAAATCGTAAGTTAGTTGAAAGTTTAGACATATTAACGTAACCTTGATTGTGAAACAAGTTCTTGCAACTTATATGTGGCAGTATATATGGTCGAATGTTTAACGCGTCGGACTATTAATTAATCTAATGATCGCTTTACACGTACGTGGGTCCAAACCCTGTTTTGCTAATTACTGGTTGGTTCCAGGAAGAGATACGAAAGTGTGTCTATATGTTTTAAGGTTCCGACATAATCGAACTAATAATAATATCTGTCATATTTTGCGGTTCGGATCGGAATATCCGTCCCGAGGTGACCCGCCCATTGGGCGGTAACGAGGCTTGCCGAGTTACCGCCCATGGGCGGGTGACCGAGGGACGGATATTCCAATCCGAACCGCAAACATATGTCAGATATTTTTTCTTGCATATTCTACCATATTCAATTATATTTTAAATTCTTTATCTTTATTTTCAATGAAAATTTATATCATTACAACCGTAACTACTTTCATTCAACAGCGTATGAATTACAAAATCGTTCATAACGGTAAAATGACGTCATCTTTATCGTGCCATTGTACAGCACGCGACTCATCTGGAACCCCCCATGCCAGATGAAATTTCCGGCATGGGTAAAACTAACGGAAACGCCAGTCTGATATGCAAGAAAATAGATTCTGTATAAACCAACTTTTATGAATAATTTTATAACATACCCTTGATCGTGACCTGAGTAAATTGACAAAAATGCAGTTCAAACGTAAAGAAGTTCAAGGTCTATGCCTGAATTTTAGTAGAGTATCATATATTTCTCATATTTTGTATGATATTGTGCGCAGCAAAAACTTTTAAACATTATGTATATAGTAAGGATTGTTTTGAAAAAGTGCTGGAAAAGTTCCAGTTTATGCTACCCCAATCTCATGAAAAATCTGAACTTGAAATCAGTAAAAAAAAAACCTTTATTTACGACGATACCAAGTTTAAATATTAGTTGCACCCCTTTAAAACAATGTTTTAATTTTCATGTGTTTAGTGTCATAATCTTTCCCCATGGTGACAGAGGGGTTGGCTTTAAGGGTTAAGGCATCAGAATTACAGCTACCGTTTGTCCCTGCATGATCGTAATTAAAAGGCGACTAAATGGGTTCGAATTACTGGAGTCTATGCATCCCTTAGCTCCAGCAGGTGAAGTGGTTTTGACCATTTGAAATTTGTAACAGCAGAGGTTAACCAAAACCATCTTTCCTGTTTCGGCGTCACATGACCTAAACTGTGTTTGTGCGCCGTAAAACCAAACAAAACCAAACAATTTTCTCACGATTATTATTTGGACAAAGAAAATCTAGCAAAAACTGTTTCATATATTTTCTTTCCTTTATTGTCATATACTGACCAATATTTTTTTCTATTGCAACAACATAACTATTAAATATTACACGTCATATTATTTTGTGAACTGGCAAAAAACATTTTCACTTTTCTCTTGTTTAAGATATACAAGTCCTTGGGGAACATAATACTTGTCTAACGGTACATTGTGCCCCTGCATAGTCAAAACATTTAAACCAGTCAAAATAGATTTTGAGAAATTTCCATTTTTCTTATGAAAGTTTAAGAACCGTCTATTTTGTGAAATACCACCCTTCTTAGGTTTAGGTGGCTCTTCTGGTGCCTTTGGACTTTGAATTCCGCTATCAGGTGCATCTGATGTTTGGTCAGCGTTGTCACCACTTTGATCAGAACCATTAATAGTTGAACTAGAATGACTTAATGTACTTTCGGTGCCCGATAGAGAATCGTTGTCATCTTCTTCGCTTTCACCACTTTCTTCCATCGAGTCTTCGTCAGTTTCTGGTCTAGATATGCTCTTTTTAGTACGGCGCTTCCCATTTCGCGACTTTTTCTTCTTGTAGACAATGATTCTACTGTCAGCCGGCTCCAGTCTTCGTAATACCACCTCCTTCTGAGGCTCTGCTTCTTGCGGTAATCTTATTGCGGGTAATTTGAAGTCTTTAGCAGATTTAGATAAATCAAATCGGCTGTCATCATTGTCTTCAAACTCTGAGTCCGACATCTCACTTCCGCTTAGGTAGCACGAGCTTTGACTGGTGAAAGATTCTCGTTGTTGTCTGTACGCCACGTGCGTCTTCACTTCTTCTATCTTATCGTTCAACTTTAACAGTTGCGACATTAGAGACAAATCTTGATCCATCAGGTCAGCCTGTAAACAATAAAATAACATTTTAATAAACTATAGAATAAATGTATTGAAATGACCAGACGACAATCTTAGCAAATTAGTTATATTGCAGACGATAAAAGTAAAATGTAATTCATTTGTATCCAATTTTCGCTGGTTGATACAGGTTTTGTTCAAGTACTTTTCAGGTCATGGTAGACGTTCATATTGACATGAATAAAAAGTTACATGCCCTATTGTTCTCGACGCCCTTCCTTCTATGCAGATCAAATTAACAAGGCGTTTAAGAAATATTATACCCAAGACAGAAAATCGTTTATATCATTGTTAACAAAAGATCTTCACAAATTTTCTTATTTCTTTTGTTTAATATTGTATTGTTTTAAGTGAAACTTTGGTGGTGATTTCAATCAAATATGTTTTCTTTTGTATGTCGATATACGATAATGTCATACACCACAATGTAACAAACCATTGAAACAGTTACAGTATAATTTTATTGTTATAACCTAGCCAAATTAGAAAATTATACCTATAATTGTGTTACATTATCCTTTTAAAAGAATAAGCTTAATTAAGCACAATTAAATGCCCATGACATGAAGTACAATAGTCTACAATTTTACTCCAATGCTATCAAATTGTCAAGTAGTTTCTACAATCGGTCAAAATTGAATTCAATTACGTTTATTATAAATGTGTCAATGTCAATGCAGAGGTTACTTGTTCTAACAATGAACAATAACAGTACAACAGATGTCATAAGAAGAACTTTTGTCTGGTTAGCAATACTCTGCCGTTTGCGTCTTCAGTTTATACATAAACACATAATTTTGTAACCGAAACTTCGATTTCTGGCAAAAGAATTAAGCATATCCTATCCAAAGTTGATGTTTCATCAGTTCATCAGTTATAAATTCAAAGAAATATTGAATGGGTAGTTGCAAAGCTTTAATTCTGACAATAAAGCATAATATGTTATCACTTTAACTTACCATTTCTGATCGGAGCCTGTCCATTGCATTATCAATTCGAGAACTTGGCTTGCCTTCCATTTTTTCTATGGCTCGAGTGTGTTTTGCCGACCGCACAGACTGTTTTATAGCTTCAGCAGCTTTCATGTGATTGAAATAAAACTGTCGGCAATTGTTTGATAAGTCTATAGCTGCACTATGCGGGTCTTTCATTGACAATGACCTGTAAGAACGTGAAAGGTCAAAGGTACTTTCATTTAAAGAGTCCGTGCTCTCTGTACTTGTCACATTACTTTTATTTATTGGTGAAGCATTGTCTAATGTTGGTTTAACATTTTCTTTATTTTTGTTGTTTTCTGAAGTGATATCATCATCTGTTACTTTGTTATTTTCGTTAGTTCTTATATTACAACATTGTCCACTTTTTTCTATTGAGTTTTCACGATTTATATTGCTTATCTTGCCTTCACCTGTACCGCTTATTGTCAAATTATTTGCGCTATTTCTATTTAAGCTGCTATTTTCAGTTTCTCGACATCGACCACTGTCTATTGCTTTGTCATTTTTCTTCACTGAGGTCGACCCAATACTTTTTTGTAGAGAGGCTTGCTCAATTGTAAGACTTTCACAACTTCGCTTTTTCAATGATTCCTGACTATTTTTGATATTTTCACGAATGGTGTCTATACTCTCAGAACTCGCTCTATTGTTTCGTTGTGTAGCACTTAAAACATCCTGACTGACATTGTGGACCCAGTCCTTAGCTAGTCTCGATTGTTCAACCGCCTCTATATGCACCATGCTACCGGTAACGTTTGACTTATTGACCCATTCTCGAGTATTACTTTGTTGTTCGATCCTCTCCTGGCCCGTCCGTCTCCGGTTGCTACGGTTGAAATTTCCTCGTAATTGTTGTTGAATGTTGAAGGCTTGCTCCTCATTGGACATCGCAAACGGTTGACTTGAAGCTATCGTCATGTTTTGATTGATTTCTTGCTGCAACTGCAAATTGTTATTTTCACTCATTATTATTTTGTCATATATTCCCTTTTCGTAAAATGTAACTTAATCAGTAACTGTGTTCGCCTAAAGTAAATCAAAAATAATATGTCACTATTTATTCTTTTCCTTTATTTTATATACTATTCGAAACATCAAGAACAAAATCTTTCATCATACGCTACTGAAAGTTGAACTTAAAACTGCTAAAGTTATAAACATATATTACATTTAAAGGTAAAAGATTTAATAAAACAATAGACATACTGGACTGTATTGAAGTGAAAACATGTAACTTGCCAACCTGCTTGCAAACAAAAGGTAATCGGTGATCTAAAACAATAGACATGTAACTGAGACGAATTAGCTAAATTTAAATTGTGATTCATTATAAACACAAAATATTACAATATTTATAACTTATATTTGGTTACTGTATATAACTAGACAGTTATTCCCATGGGTATATATGTTATAGATTCATTTCGTTAAATTTCATTACAATAGTAAAAGGCCACAAATCAGTAAAGGCGAGATAAGTTTTTCATTTAAAGTCGGCAAATTAAGAGCAATACTTTATGGAGTAGAATATTTACAGCTTTAACTAACACCATTCTTATACGATGACCGGTAATTATGCGACACAGTTCACCGTGGCGTCGGTAAAAATGCGCTACTTCTAAATTTGACGTTGATGACGTGTCTTGGTATAACGAACGATCCACGTGCGATTTATACAGGTGGTTACTGACCATTAATTATATATACAGTTAGTTTATATGCAATTCAGGCGTAACGTTACAGATAGTTAAGATCGTTTGCTTAAAAAGAATCGAACACAAATGTATTATTACTGTTTGCATAATATTTGTTGTTACATAAAGAGTATATTCATATGCTTTAATTTCTAAAGCAAGAGCTGCAGTATTTTTATAAATAGATATTTTACTGATTACGTTTATTTTGATGCCCTTTTTGTACACGAACATGTCAAATAACGGAAAACATTACGTGTACATATTTATACATTTTCATATGTGTGAAGTATATGAAAGTGACTTTTGTTTAAGTCAATAATAAAGAATTTATTGTCAAATGTTCAATATAACATAAACCGCATAATTGGACCATCTTATCAATTCATGACTTGAAATGTATGAAAAACAGCACTGTTCGTTTGAAAGCATTCCTCAGTTCCATTTACAAGGCTTTTAAAAACCTGTTGTTTCAATAGTATATACATATATGTCATGCGTTTGTAGATATCTTTTCAAAAGTTAACATGTGACTTGCCTTATTTTCCAGCTATATACATTTTTTTTCGGTCTTGAGACATTTGTAATGATTTAAAAACAAATCAATAATTTATACTTTTTCAATTTTTCTTTCCTGCAGAATCATTTACTTTAATCTCGAACTCTAACAGTCACATTCTTATCACAAATTATCGACTTTAAGTAAAATTAAGTAGCAGTAGTTACAACAAAGCAGAAAATGAAGAAAAATGCAGAAAAAGAGGTCATTTCATATACCCACATAAAAAATTACCAAAATCAGATGTAAGTTTAAATGAACAGATCAATAAAACAATTCGGTTACATTAAACATTTTGCGAGGACAAAATTTACCTTTTCAGGTAAAAAACTATTTTCCCTGTATCTTCATAAATGCAAACAAAGTATTATTTTTTCAAATGGTCTTAATTTTTTTCATTATGTGTAGATTATCACTGAATAACTTTGAATTAACATTCCCCCTCCCGTGATGACTTAGAGTCTTATTAACCTGTCAACAACTTTGTTTACTTCTTTTAAAAATGTATGTAAACATGTCTCCCTCTATACCTTTATACTGTCTTAATTTTGCATTTAAAACTTCTAACCATGGACACTTGTGTACTTGGAATTAAGAATACCGTTGCTGCAAATATATTCTAACACTATATTAGAAAACATTTTATACACTAGATTCAAACTACACACTTAAACATTGTACTCTAAAGAATATCATATTTCTTTGTCATGGTTGACCGCGGGCTTTGCAAAAAGATTTTTTGCGCAAGAATCACGTGCTTATTTATTTTCATTTTAATGCTTCAAACGTCAATATAGAAAAAGGTAAAAACTATCAAGTACAAAAGTATAAGATATTATATATTTTCTCAGTGTATTGTGATTATAATGTACTAGTATAATGATATGTGTCCAATGAATCATGATGTATGTTAAAATTACATCGTGATCACCTTTTACATGTACCAAATTAACCTTCCACGAAATAATTTCACCTCTAACTTGCCATTGCCTCTAACATTCTTCTTAATTGCCATCTAATCTAATTAATCAATTATATCAAGTCTACACGTCAACATTTTTGAAAAATCATAACAAAGATTGATCTAAATATTTTCTAAGCAAAGCACTAAAATGCTTATGTCATAAGTCGATACATCAGTCCGCGTAGCAGACGAGCGCATTCAGCGTCTTTTGTAAATAATTCAAAGTTTAAGAAATGAATGACAACGCTAAACAGTGGTCTGACGATACCGCAGTTGATACAGAAGTTCAATCATTAGACAAACTGTTTCTAGAAAAGGAAGAATTGGTATCTAAGTATATTCATGAGATGGAACAGTTTTCAGGCAATAGAAGTTCATTTGATAGAAATCTATGGATATTGAGAAAAGAAATGGTACGTTATTATAATTATTATCACCAATTTCTTTTAATAGACAAGTTTCATTATATTTTTAAAACGTTTATAACATTTATTCATTACAAACACAATTAAAACATGCTTTTTTACTCGCACTCGCCTATTGTATTCATGTAGACTTGTTCAATTTTTTTAAGTTGAAAATCAAAATGGTCCCCCAATAATAAAAATTTTTACACCCTTGTCATTTTTCATGGATTTTGCCTGACAAAATCACTAAAATAAAAATTTAAACCGCTAAACGTTAAAAGGAGTTTCTGAAATGGGGGACTGTTTTGGGTGCCATGTCCAAATTTTTGTTTCCCCGCAGTCCCCACAGTACCACATTCCCGGTGCTAAAACAAAAATGGGGACATGAACAAACCCATTTCAGATAGTTTGGTTTAAATCTAATTCGTAGTAGTTTCTTACACTGATTTTTCTCTCCATCCAATGATTTGAAAAAGAACCATTTTTTTTGTCATAAATTTTAATAATAATTCCTTTACGAAAACATTTTTTTTTAGCATAAATTACAATTCAAATAAATGAAATTAAACTTTTGAAAGAAATTTGCTTAAAATTCTTTGAATATAATCTTAAACTGTTTTTCTCCTCTGTAATTCATACTCGTGTAGATAGCCGGACAGACCATAGATCTTTAAATGATTAGTTACTTACTAATGTATCCTTTGATAAATTATATTTAATTCAATTAATTTTTTTTTTCATTGCATGCCGATTTTGAGCAGAAACAAAAATAATAAATTTATCAGAAATCTACTGTACAATTATATCGAAAAAGTTTGGGTGAAAATATTTTCACCAATGCGTCTCATGCTGTTACTGTATTTAGTATTAACTGTCAAACTTTATATAGTATAAACTGCCCCATCAATACATATAATACTAATTATGGACAAAGTAAATCAGTTGCCCTAAAAAGCTAAAAAACCGAATGACTTAAGGGGTATCACCTATACACATAAATGTTTATCTGATAAGGCCTTTTAAACAGTATAAACACCATTATCATTATCATATTATTATAAACATTTTTAAACAAAATACATTATGTATAGTTTTCTTTTTACAATTTCATGTTTATGTAAATGATGTAGGTAATCATTTGCCCATATTGTTGAACAAGTTAAAGTACACTATGAGCAAATATGTACATGACAAATCGATCTGTCAGAAAAATATCAGAATAATGAGACGCTGGCAATATAAGTTAAGTATTTCTCACTTAATTATAAAATGGTTAAAGACTAATCTTTGAAGAAATAATTGTGCATTTGACATTTGTAATCCTTCATTAACTCTATGAAAATTGCGGCTACTTTGAGTTTTGGATTTGTAATTGATCGAACTTCCAGTGACCCACACTACGAAAATGGTTAAATGATAAAATAGCAGTTTTGTAACCGCACTTAGAGTTGGACATATCCCCAAATTGATTCGACAATGCGGGCACGGACACAAAATAAATTTAGCTCTGTTCGCCGAATTCCCTGAACTTCCAAAGGAATAGGAACCGAGGTTACCGCTGATTGACACATGCGAATCTTAGAGAACCTTGTTGGTGCAGGTTTATAGATTAAAACAAAATAAAATATTATGAATGATATTCTTGAGATTACAACGAAACTTACTATCGCAAATATACATGTAACCACAAAAGTAGATTTATTCAGTAAAATACATTAAAACACCATGCTCCCACTATAGGAAGTATGTTGTTTAAAAGTTATTCATAAAATTGTCAACGAAAAGCATGTTCTGTAGTAGTGAAACATCCTAAGATCGGCTGTCGGCCAATTTGACAAACTGCACTCAGTACCTGCATCATCAAACTGGTATGTTTTAAACATTATACTTATCTATGTGTCACAGTGAGTGTAATAACTGTAACATTTTATCCTCAGGCCAGGACGAGCGCGAGTCGGTCACTATGGTGACGTGATGTATGCATGCCCTCTCAGCAACCTTAGCTTCAAACAAATGACGCATACCTAATACTAATAACTATTTTTCAACCTATTTTTTTTCTCCACTCTTTTTTGCAAGGACTAAAAAAACAAAAACGAGAGTGAAATAGACAAATGCGAACTTTGTAGGTGGTACGTAGAAATTTTTATAGTGATATTTTATGAGTTTGAATTCAATACTTCAAATGCATAAAAAGTTTTTTTTTTTTGTTTTTTTTTCAGATATAGAGTGGCATATTAATTAATTCTAATATTTCACATTAACTTGTAGTTTATTTTTTCGGTTGTCGTAATAAATCAGAATCGTTTGAATTTTCACTTCAGCTTCGTCTGATGCAAAGTGACATTGAACTTTGGAAGAAACTACAAGAACTTGATGCCTTGTTAGCTGCCGTCAAGGAGGACATTTTACCTCAGAATTTTGGTTATGCTTGCTCCGGTACTTTGTCGTCTGCTTCATCCGGAACTGAAAGTTTTGTGTCGGCGGAAGAATACAATGATGTGATATTTTCTGTTCCAAATGAAAACCGAGTAAAGATATGGATTGAAAATAGTGACTTTTGCAATAGTGATTATACAAAAAACTTACCAAAAGATGAGAATGATAGATTTAGGTCTGAGGCTTTTAGTGATATTGATTTAAATACCAACACAGAATGGCTTGTTCAAGAAAATCTACATAAATCATACATAATTGACCAGCTTCTAAATAGTTTCAGAATATCAAAATCAGTTTCGAACAAAAAGGAAATTAACAAAAAGTGTAGCATTAATTATTTACAGGGACTATTGAATTCATATTTACTGGGACCTACAATTTTTGTGGATTTGAAAAGGCCGCTTATTATGAAATCTATGAGGGAAATCGAGATTTCTTCCAGAGAGGACATTACGTATTATAAGTCATCACTACGTTTGCTGGGTTCTATTCGAATGCAAAGCAGAATATTCGAACCCAGCCTTACAAAATGGAGACCTTTCGCATTGTCCCAAACCTCGGACAGTTTCATTATTGTTCCTCCTACATCATTTTCGAATATTCAACCAAGACCAAAATTACATAGACTAGCAAGTGTTTCGGACAGTGGACGTGTATATATAACGACTTTCTTAACAGACACAGAAGAAAATCCAGAAAATAATAAATTGGATGCAAACGAAAATTGCTTAAAAGAAAGCTTAAATAATATAGACATTTCTAAAGAATTGCTTATTACAGCATGTAAAGAATCAGACCATACCGCGTATTCTTTAGCAGAGGTATGTGACGTCACCAATGACAACAATGAAACTAAAAGTGATACAGAAAAAGAAGCTTCAGAAGTGAATGTAGACGTAATAAGTTCAGAATTTCTAGAGCTTAAAGACGGATTCATAACATGTCGCATTTTAATACCTGGTACAGATGAAGATCTGAATCCACCGTTGCTCGACCAGGACGAGTTTGAATATCTAATCATAGATGACGGTCGAGTCACGTTTACACCGCATGAAAGAGACGCTGACAGTGGGGAAACATACTTTTTAGGGTGGTTGTTCGAGAACAAAAAGGGCGACGAAGAAACGTATTATATTTTCCCAAAAACAAAATTTTAAAAAAACGTAGGGACGTAGAAAAAACTAAAAGAACTGGGAAACCATTTGGGGAAAATTGTAAAAGGGCGTTTTAGTCGGGGTCTTGGTTTAAAAAACCCGAAAGTTACTATTCTTTATCCAATAAAAAAAACAGGTGGAAAATTTTTAAAAAGAGATTTTTAGGAATTTTGATATTTAAAAAATGGTGCTATTTAATTACCCAAAAAAGTTAAATTGGTGCATAATTAAAATAGAGGACAGCTCGTAGGATGAGGAAATCGAAGATATACATTCAAGTATATATTTGTATGCTACTAGTCTGATTAGGTCTAGTATAAACACAAAATAGAACATAATTGATGATTGACAAACAATTTCATGTATTATTGAATTCGTCTGTTTCTTTATGACAAGAGGATTTTATTCTTATCCTTCTATACTTTTATGTGCTACTCATTAAGCGGTATATGTATTTCTGTATTACATATTTAGTTTTACTGATAGTTTCTTTTAATGTTTAAGACCCAAAAATGATGTCTAAAATAAATCACTAACTGGCAATGGACAAAAATAATAGAGGACACTTAAAGGTAGTGGACCTCCATCGCTTAAAATAGAACATGTAGCTTTGTGTCACTAACTTAAGGTAAGCTTTGAGAACAAGACAGCATAAGCTCAAATAAGCTTTTCTAAACTACATGTAGAATCTTAACCAGGTTATGTACGCTGATTTAATGATTTTTAATGTAGGCACCAAACGTTTATGTCATATCTAAAGAAACCACATGGTCAAACGGACACCTAGCATCTGTTCCAGGTAATATTCCACATTCGTGAAAATTAAATCGTGCTTTTTTCTGCAGGTCTCCAGATATTGAATATAAACAATGAAAGAATACTTTCAATATTAAAAGTTTGTTTTCAATTACCAACAGTTTGATGCTTTTATTCATTCATTTAAATTAACTTGTTTTTTGTTTAACACAATGTTGACTTTAGCTTTATCAGTGAATGAAGAGCTACCCCCCCCCCCGGCGCCACAATATCATACGACGCATGAAATATTTTTTAACACATTCTGCAAATGAATATATTAAACCCTGTTTTCTTCCAACTCGAAATCACGGATTTATATTACATCAAAAGTAATTAAGATCCGTGCCGAAAGTAATAGATGTTATATTGTACAATATAAGTTTTATAGAAATAATATACATGTATAATTATGTAAGCAAAACTCAACACATAGAAAGTTATACCGTTTTTATTTACTTTCACTGGTACAAAAGGTGTTATAGGAAAATATGAAGTCATGTAAAAAAAATTCAATATGGTAGACTAATTAATAATATATGTCACAGATGTATCTTATCAACAATGTTTTAATTTGACATACTTTTAAGATGTAAATATGTAAACTTGCTGGTTAAAACATTGTTTAATACCAAACCTTTTTGCCAGGTTAACAGAGCACTAGTAATATGGTTTTAAAAGCACATTAATGTATAGACACTAATAACATGAATTCACATTTATGAGGAATGGTTAATATCTTAACAAGAGCACCGCTAGGCGGAGCATTATACGCCCGAAAGTGTTTTTTTTTAGTAAGGATGAAGCATTTGTAAGACATGGGTAAGCTGTTCATCCTATAAAATTTTTATCAGCTGTAGGTTGATTTAATACTTAAGTTATTAATAATGACCTTAAACTTTACCTTTGTGACCCCAAAATCAATAGGGTTCTTCTAACCGTAATATGGACAATCCATTCTAAGAGTTTGAATATTGCGGGCCCAAATGGAACTTTAGTTTATGCTCCGAAAACTGTTTTCAATTTTAAGGTAATAGAGACCTTGACCTTTTGACCCCAAAATCAATAGGGATCTTCTTCCCAATATGGACAATAATCCTATGAAGTTTGAATATTGTGGGCCAAATGGAACTTAAGTTATGCTCCGGAAACTGTTTTCAGTTTTAAGGTAATAGTGACCTTGACCTTTGACCTTTTGACCCCAAAATCAATAGGGGTCTTCTACCCAATATGGACAATCATCCTATGAAGTTTGAACATTGTGGGTCAAATGGAACTTAAGTTATGCTCCGGAAACCAAATTGCTAATGGACGGACGCACGCCAGGGGGTATAACATAATATGCCCTTTTGGGCAAAAGGGCATATAAAAATATATGGACCTCCATAAACATGCCCTTATTAAGTTAAATAACCAATCTTTTTTTTATATGTTAATAGGAAGTAAATAGTACTAAATACCAATAAGACTAATGCAGAACTTGAAAAAACTTTAAAGAATTTAGACATGATAGAAACATTTTTATAACACCAGATAATTTATCAATATTTGACCAAAAAGTCATATTTAGGTTTCAGAAATACGCTGGCCAATCATCACTGCTCTATATAAACTCTGGGCCAAATTGTAATTTGTGAATGTTCCAAATAAACTAAATAAGTTTAAAAATTTATCTGATAGAAAAAACAAATTATGAATTAAATGAAAATTTAAACCCTTTCTTTTTTAAAACATTTTTCTACTCCCCAAAGCGCAGTTTTAAAAATACATTTTGCAAAAATGTTTCAAAAAGTTAAAACCCAATTCTGCATACTATAGTATTCAACATACAAATTATTTCAAACTCAACATTTATCTAAGGTTCATATTCTTTTCTCTTTAATTGTGCAAATTTTGCACAAAACTTAACAAATATCAACCATCAAACACAGGCACTATTTCTTGTAGGGGATCTTGTTCCATACAACTGATAAGTAAACTTTCAGGTTAAGTATTGATAAAATATAAGGTTCCTGTGCAAATACGTATTAACTGAATGGTATAAAGAATGCTGATAAAAAGGCTATTGGTTCTGTTAATCTACAGCATTTTGATTAATTAGTTGGTGTAAATAAAATATTATAAACATGCACATACAGACAAAAAAGATAATACTGTTTCAACATATATATAAGAATGGTAATCTTGTTTCAACTTTATTGTTACTCCCTGTAATGTCATGATCTCATGCGAGTCATTAACTTGTTACTTCCTTATACAGTTTTCTTACTCAATCTCAGGCTCTTCAACAGAATGTCAAAAATATAACCAACCATTAAAAAGAGTATTCAGCTGCTCAGAAGAAAAGTACTTACAATTATGGCAATGAGCACGAAAAAAAGTTTTGCACTTATACATGTAAAATAACTTTTTGTTATAAATGTATAACGAGTTCTGATGGAAAAAGGTAGTGCATTTAAAAAAATATTAAGTTATATATACTAAAGAGCCTGCAAATAACAAGTAATGAGTAAAACTTAGTCATCATACTGTTAAAAACAAGATAAAAATGGTTAAAAATAAAACAAACATTATAAAAAAACATATGAAACAATGTAGCCTTTACACAAACTCTCTATAAACTCTCTACAAAATCCACCTTAAACTAGTATCTCTTATCTTCAAACACTACTAGTATCCAATAGATACTGTTTGTAGAGAGTAAGGCAAAACATATAAAACAAAAATGAACACACTGGCAATATTTCAAAATATATTCATCCTACCTTTAGAAATGAAAATAATTTCATCATCTGAAACAAATTTTACAGGACTGAATCTTCAAGAAATTTACCTTATTTTGTATAGAATGTTTTCATGTTTCTTGAAGAGATTAACACCCAGCCCTCTCCCAGCACAAGATTGAACCAAAGTCAAATTTCATTTATTAGTTTCACTAGAAACTGATCACATTTACCAAGAATTGAGTCATAAGACTACTAAGTGTTCCTTCATAAAATTCCACACATAAAAGTTTGTATTTGTATGAATTATATAGAAAACATAGGACTCATAACATGCCATGATATATTAATGATATATGTCTCTGACTTTAAGCATACTTTGCTTGTCAAAATGGTCCCATTATATCAACAGAATATGTCACTGACTTGATGCACATTTTTTTCTCTGTATGGCATCAAATTAACGTTTTTTAACAGGTAGTTCTCACTGTGCAAACATGGAGTACAAACACATCAGTTTTTTGTTTGCTATCTTGTCTAAATAAAACCACATATATACATATCACAGGATTTATACATCATCACATTCCATAGTCTGGTTCTCCTTCAATTTCTGTACCTTCACATAATCACTGAACTGTCAAAACTGAAAACTAACAAACTAAAATCATAATCTTTGTCAAAATATTACTAACTATTCTATTACACGTCCTCCCATCAACAACTAAAGTGTGGGAACTGATAAGATCATATATTTTCATCAGAGACAGGTATTTCAGATTCTCCTGCAAAAATATTCATATCTGAACAGAACCTTCTGTGTCATTCATAATTTTGACTAAACCTTCTGAGTCACTCATAATTTTGTATCACCGTCACAAAAACACAAAATCACCTGACACAAAAACTAGAATATCCAACTGTTCAAATAAAAACTGCTGACTAGTTGCACACACTTCTCCATTGAATCAGTTACTCCTTGCTTGTAGAGGGGAATTGTAGAGTTTTCTGTCCTCGTTCTGGATTAGGCATTTTAAATATCCTTGTCATATTTGTTGATGTAATACCAAGATTACTGAAAATACAATATATGAGATTCTTACAGATAAGTTTTTACTAATTTTATTTTAGTTTAACTGTGTTGGAAGCTATAGAGGATTTTTAGGTTTTTTTTTTTTTCTATAAATACAGGATTTATTTTCATTGAGTGGTATATTTAGGTTTTTTTTCTATAAATACAGGATTTATTTTCATTGAGTGGTATATTTAGGTTTTTTTTCTATAAATACAGGATTTATTTTCATTGAGTGGTATATTTAGGTTTTTTTTCTATAAATACAGGATTTATCATTAAAATTTGAAATACTTCCTCTTAAGTTTTATGTATTGTCTGAATTTAGAAGTAGTCTGGAAAGGCAACAGTGAAAATATGGAAAATATGTTTCACTTGATGAAAAATAAATTTACAACGAAAATTTGGAAAAAAATGTAAACGCAAATTTTGTTTCATCAATATTTCATTTATTAGTATATAAGCTTATTGAAACACTCTCGAATTTGTTCCTGGAACCAACCAGTACTAAGCAATGAGTGTAAAGTTTCTTGCTCACAAAAACAACAGCTTGCCTTTAACAGGGTTTGAACCAAAGTAGCCAGTAATCCTTTTATTTATATTAATAGTCTGACGAGTTTACCACTCAGCCATGCTGCCACTCAGTGATTAAAGTTTCAATGACAGGCTTTTCTTTAACCCTAAACCTGCGAAATTCCTTTAATAGACTTTCCTATTATTATTATAATAATAAGTCATTATATCTCATTCTTATTTATCTTTCATTGTTCTTATCAACAGAACAGGCATTATATATAATAATAATATATTATTCCATTTCATATTTATCTTTCATTATTCTTATTAGCAGAAGAGCCATTAAATCTCATTTCAAATCATATCCATCTTTCATTATTCTGAAAATTCCTAACTAAATTTTCAACCTTCCCCCCAGTTCCAAATGTGTCAATCAATAGTAGTCTTAAAATGATGAACAGAAGGCATGTTTGCTTGTTTTAATACAAATATTTTACCTCATATTTTGTGGTGACAGGAAAATGAACTGTCTGTCTGTCTTTGCTTGAGCAGTATTCATCATCAACTGCATACTTATCCTTCTGTTTACCATATCCTGAAATATAAAACCATACTTATAAGATACACAACTAAAATTACATACCTATACTAATTTTGATTTAATTGATAATCAAATAATAAGAGATAAACACTTAATCACACACTCAAAATATTGTTTACAAGAGATCAACAGCAAAGTACCTCTGACAAAGTTCTTAAAGTTAGAACTGACAGAAAGAAATTTTGTGAAGAACAAGCCATCAAAAGATTAACCAATACTATTGGCATAAAGAATTCTTTTAAGATCAAAATCTCAGTGATTTTCAACTGATATATTGACAGAAGGTAAAAGACAATATCACTTCTTCACATTAACTGAACTGCTTTTCAAATTTTGTCAGCAAAAACATTTTTTTTTTATTCTGGACCTGTTTGAAGTATTTCAGTCCAATTTATAACACACAATGGAACACTCAAACCAAACAAAAAGGAAGGAATAGGTTAATCACAAAAGTGTGTGCCTCTACCTAGAGACCTTGGGTATGAGCCTTACTAGGGTCACAACCATGTTTTCTCAGACGATACCAGTACTGGTTAGTTTCAGGAAGCAGAATCCATAGTTTCAAATAAGTTTAAAGCTTTTGTCACAATCAAGCATAGTTGTGGCTAGAAAAGGTTTGAAAAATATCTCCAGATCAAAGGTATCAAATTGATTGATAAACTTTGCCTTATTAATGGTAAATTATTCTCTAATTACTCTTTACGGACCACATTAAAACTGCACCACATAAAGAAAATTCAACTCATATATAGGTTTTAATAAAGAATACAGAGATAAAATATCTGGACCTTCATTTTACTTCCACACATTGAGAAAATTGAATAATCGAAGTTTGACACAGAAGTTCACACTAAAATCTTACCATAAATACATCAAACTCATCAAGGCATCTAAATGGTGACTCCATAGCTTCCCAGAGAGCCAGGATAAAACATACAGTAGAGAATGACCTTTCACCTCCAGACAGTGATCTCAAATCTTTCACACCTTCAGTTGTTACAGTTTTAGATGGTTGAACCTGCAGGGAAAACATGTTCAAGTTAAACTACAGGATAATTAAATATATCATAACATACAGTAAAAATTTCATTAAGAAAATCATTAGAATTATACTTATAATTAAACTTAAAACTAGTAGATCTAAAGTATTTCTTGTTATAATGCTGCATTTAATTACCATCAGTTAAATGTTGAATACCAATTAATCAATTATAGACAAATAAATTTGTAATATTTTCTAATACATGTATGCAATAAGCATCAAAGCTAGAAAAAGCAATTACTAGATTTGAAAATTTGTTAACTCAGAATCAAAATATATATTTGAACAATAACTTTTGGTAACAATGCACACCAAATTCCTTAACATTTTACTTAATAAAAGAAATGAAATCATACAAAATGGCAATTTTTCTTATAAATATCACAAAATGGTGTTGAAGAAAGGTGCTTGTAAATGCTTATTTTTTTATTACCTTAATCCTGAGTTTGATAGATTATATTGTATTATTCTTCCTAAATTTTATTTCAAAATGAGTTCATGTTGACAAAAGTTAAATGCTAATAACGTTAACAAAGCAAACAAAATGAATTGAAGAGGTCAGTGAAAGGTTTCCCAATTCAAAATTCAATGGATCTTTGTAGAGTCCTCATTTATTTGACAATATGTATCAATAAATTACAAATATCTAACATTGATTTATCTTTCACCATTCAGTCATAATCAAACTTTGTGTAACTATTTTTATCTTCAAAACTTCAGTAAAAATATGTATTGTACATACAAAAATGATTATATAAAGTAATGCTTTTAGCACATTTCCCCCCGTACCATCACAGTTTGTTGTAATATTTTTGAAACATTTCTTCATACTTAAGCCTTTTCATTTACAACTCAAATTACGCCACACCCTTAATATCAATCTCAAATATTTCCGAAGCACTTCACATAAACACCTGTCATATCTATACAGTTTTAATCGTCATCTTTTATTTAACTCCGTTTTTGTTAACTTTATTCAACTCCATATTTGTAATCTGATTGATAAAATTATATTCATGATTCATTTCTAATAATGATGGCTCTGGATCTAGGGTTCTTCTTGCACTGACCTTGTTACCCTAAAATGACCAGAACTGTTACAAGCAGCTAAATTTTTGATGTTATCCAATCCCAAATATTGGCATGCAAACACATATTTCAAGGTAAGGAGAACATGCAATTTTAATACTAAACTTAAACCAGATTAACCAACACCTAAAGCTTTACTAATTTCTTTTAATGGGGGCCAGTCAAGTTATGTAAAACAAATTAAACTTAATGAAATGCCCTATGGAAAAAATTATTGTAACAATACTTATCATGAATGATATAGTTTCTTAATTAAATTAGAGTGAAAAAAGAGAAAAAAACCCCCCAACAATAGCAAATGACATGAAAAAACGGACCGATATGATTTTCATAACACAAAATCTAAGCAAAAAATGGAAGATCCATGTTTAAAGATAAAGAATTTTTTTGAATTTTCAAATAGAAAAATAAAGTTTTGTCATTATTCTTAGTACCTTACAATATCTAATAATTCAGGCACTAAATTTAATAATTTTGACTAATTATTCTATAATCAATAATGTAAGAAGATGCTTCAAATTTATCCCCAACTGTTGAACATTTTGGTGCTACTTAGCGACATTAACAAGTGTAGTAAAATTGGCCAGACTCCCTATTGTTGAAGACTTAGCTTTAACATTTTAATTTCATTCTGGAAACATTTTAATTAAATACTAAAATCCCTTCATTTACTTATGGACTGCTGAAAATTTTAAGGACAGAGTGCCAATTTAACAAATTAGGCATTGTGAGAAGAAATAATGTTTTCTTTCAGTACAATTTAAATACAGTGTAGTAAAGTGTATGGACCTGACTTTTGTGACTTTAGTTTGTAGCTTGAGTTATCATTACGCCTATTTTTTTCTAAAGCAATCACAAATTTTAATATATTTTAGTGCATCCATATGCTTTCACAGAAACACCATATGCTTTCACAGAAACAAAACTTGTTTGCAGTACAAGAGAAAAACACAAAACAACAAAAAACAACAACTTTTCATTCAAGTTATTAAATCATAACAGAAACATTATCTTTCAAACAAAACAAGCAAACACAGACAACATAACGCACAAACAAATGACAATAAAAGCACATTGATTCAACAGATAAGTTATTTTTTTTAAGATTTAAGTCATTAACACATATAGTGATAGAGATAGAGAATCCCTGTTGCCCCTCATTGTATTATTCAGGCACAAATGAGAACCTGAATAGAACAACGACCTTCTGCAAATCTTTCTCAGACAAAAGAATCTTATTAGGCAAAACCGACACCTAAACATAACAAGATATGTTTGTAAAACATGTATGCCCCCTATCAGCAGCCAATTATTCATGTGATAAGGTAATTATGTATGACTTCTGACCCAGTGATCAAACAATTAATAAGGGTTATCAAGTATCTACTGGTCATGACCTTGACCTTTGACCCCTTGACCCAAAACTCAATAGGGGTCATCTGCTGGTCAAGACCAATCATCATACAAAGTTTGAAGTTCCTAGGCCTAAGCGTTATTAGTTAATTGATCAGAAACCGTTTTACTTACAAGGTCAATGTGACCTTGACCTTTGACCCCTTGACCCCAAAATCAATAGGGGTCATTTGCTGGTCATTACTAATCACCATGCCAAGTTTGAAGTTCCTAGGCCTAAGGGTTCTTTTATTATTGATCGGAAACCGTTTTAACATACAAGGTCAATGTGACCTTGACCTTTGACCCCAAAATCAATAGGGGTCATCTGCTGATCATGACCAATCACTATGCCAAGTTTGAAGTTCCTAGGCCGAAGTGTTCTTTAGTTATTGATCGGAAACCGTTTTTACTTACAAGGTCAATGTGACCTTGACCTTTGATCCCTTGATCCCAAAATCGAAAGGGGAAATCTGCTGGTCATGAAAAATCACCATACCAAGTTTGAAGTTCCTAGGTCTAAGCGTTCTTAAGTTATTGATCAGAAACCGTTTTTACTTACAAGGTCGATGTGACCTTGACCTTTGACCCCTTGACCCAAAACTCAATAGGGGTCATCTGCTGGTCACCACCAATCATCATACAAAGTTTGAAATTCCTAGGCCTAAGCGTTTTTAGTTAATTGATCGGAAACCGTTTTTACCTACAAGGTCAATGTTACATGACTTTTGACCCCTTGACCCTAAAAACAATAGGTCATCTGCTGGTCATGACCAATCACCATACCAAGTTTGAAGTTCCTAGGCTTAAGGGTTCTTAAGTTATTGATCGGTAAGCATTTTTACCTACAAGGTCAATGTGACCTTGCCCTTTGACCCCTTAACCCCAAAATCAGTAGGGGTCATCTGCTGGTCATGACCAATCACCATACCAAGTTTGAAGTTCCTAGGCCTAAGGGTTCTTTAGTTATTGATCGGAAACTGTTTTAACCTAAGAGGTCAATGTGACCTTGACCTTTGACCCCTTGACCCCAAAATCAATAGGGGTCATCTACTGATCATGACCAATCACCATATCAAGTTTGAAGTCCCTAGGCCTAAGGGTTCTTTCGTTATTGATCGGAAACCGTTTTTACCTACAAGGTCAATGTGACCTTGACCTTTGACCCCTTAACCCCAAAATCAATAGGGGTCATCTACTGATCATGACCAATCACCATATCAAGTTTGAAGTCCCTAGGCCTAAGGGTTCTTTCGTTATTGATCGGAAACCGTTTTTACCTACAAGGTCAATGTGACCTTGACCTTTGACCACTAACCCCAAAATCAATAGGGGTCATCTGCTGGTCATAAACAATCACCATACCAAGTTTGAAGTTCCTAGGCCTAAGGGTTCTTTTGTTATTGATCGGAAAACGTTTTTACCCAAGAGGTCAATGTGACCTTGACCTTTGACCCCTTGACCCCAAAATCAATAGGGGTCATTTACTGATCATGACCAATCACCATACCAAGTTTGAAGTTCCTAGGCCTTAAGGTTCTTTACTTATTGATCGGAAACCGTTTTTGCTTACAAGGTCAATGTGACCTTGACCTTTGACCCCTTGACTCCAAAATCAATAGGGGTCATCTACTGATCATGACAAATCACCATACCAAGTTTGAAGTTCCTAGGCCTTAACCCATTGCTTCATGAGCATTTTGTGAAAAATGGCTGTTTTCATTGAAAAGTCTCCCGTTACAAGTTCAAATTGCTATAATACTATAAAAACTGCTTCAACACTAATCAAACTTAGCACAAATGTTGACTGGACCATTGCCCTTGCAACAACATGCTCAGGCTTAAATTTTCTGTTACCATGGCAACGAGGGGACATCTCAAAATTGCCAAAAATCACTATTTTGCGTTGATTTTTTCCATCAAAATTGATTTCAAAGTGCTGCAACTTCTCAATGGATTGAGATAGAGTCAAATGCTTTTCAGCGTTGGTTACACGTTACCTTATGATCAATCTGGGGTCATTTACAGCCTCTAACAAGTCCAAAATTTTCTTGGCAATGAGGGGGACTCCGCCCCCCTTCAAACCCCCCCAAACAGAAGGGGGCACATCCCCCTTCTGGCAACCCCCTGATGTATCTTTTGGTTGGGGGGCTGCGCCGAAAAAGAGGTCACTTTTTTTAACAACATTTCTCAAACAAAAACAAGTGTTTGGGGCCTAAATAAGGCATTTTTTCATCATTTGAGACAACAAAAAGGGGGGGGGGGGGTGAAAAAGGCGTTAAAAGGCGTGTATATGAAGTAATGGGTTAAGGTTCTTTAGTTATTTATTGGAAACCGTTTTTGCTTACAAGGTCAATGTGACCTTGACCTTTGACCCCTTGACCCCAAAATCAATAGGGGTCATCTACTGGTCATGACCAATCACCATACCAAGTTTGAAGTTCCTAGGCCTAAGGGTTCTTTAGTTATCACTCGGAAACCATTTGGTCTACGGA